AACTTAACGGAGAAGGAAAAACTGAAGTTGGGCCTTATTTTAGTTTGCTTGGCCCAACAACATTTAATAATTTTCTTTCTTTTGTCTCCACTTTTTCCAACATAACTGACGTGTAGGAAAACTGAACCAATATAAACCTTGTGTCATTTACTGCACTTTTCCTATACTTCTCTTATTGTGTGGTTGGATTGTGTTTTCACTAACAAAATGTAGAAGGAGAAAAAGTTCTTGGTAAGCAATTTTCCCAACATCCCAGTTCTACCTTTTGATTTCGGACTGATTTTCATTTTAATTAGGTTAGGGAGTTCGTTGATTCCGCATGGCGGATTCGTTAGGGCTCCTAAAGTTGTTGATGACATTGTGGAATCTGGCTGCTACTATTTATGTAGACGTTAATTTTGATGTTGAGAGACTATGGGTGGTAGGTTCTTGGATTCATTTGAGGTATAAACATTACTACTTTACCAGCTGGGCACCAATAATTGTTTTTTTCTTAATCTGTTGTAGATTATTAAGGATTTGTTAGAGCCAATTTACACTCCTGAAGACTTGCTGGTACAAACCCAGCCGGTTAACAACCAAAGATCTCATCTGCATCAAGTTGTTTAAGGTCTGGTTTGATGATGTTCTCCATTTTAGTTTTCTGTTTTGAAGAATTATGTCTACTTCCTCTCACTTCCTTTGCTCATACGCCTGTTCTAAGAGATAGGTAGGTATTTTGTGAATCGTTATAGACTATCTGTCTTTCTAGCTAAATTTACTTTATAAATTTCGGTATCTATTGCATTGTGAAATTCTAGCTAGTTTGGTTCCCGTGTAAGTCAAACCTTTTGGAGTAAGTTTAAGATCTGTTTAGCAACGTTTCAATTTCTCTTTCCTAGGATTAGAATTACTAGGCCACCCAGATCCAAGAAACAAGCATTTTTATTGTTTCTAAAAGTTCCGTACAACTTTGAAAATGTTTTTAAGAAATGAGAAATAAAAAATATAATTACTTAAATAATTTTCACATGCTTAGACAATGTAGACAAGCCTTTAGGGATGGATGGTTTTTGTAGCGATCTCTAATTTTTTTTATATATCAGCAAGCGACCCCTAAATAAAATAGAAAAACTATATATTTTATTATATTAGTTTGCAAATTTGTGTGGAGCTTAAGCAATTAAAATATAAGATATATTAAAAGATAGGTTTAGGAATTTGGATACGGCTTTGTACCCTCGTTATCTTTATAAATAGGTTGAGCCTAAAAAACAGTCCTCAATTAAAAAATAAAATTAACTTAAAAACGTATTATAAATCTGAACAAAGTCTCAACAACTTTATAAATGTATTATAAATCTAAATGTATTTAGAGCTCATCATCTAGCCCATCTATTATTAAATAAAGAAAAAATACAATATGCTTGATATAAAATAACATAATTTAAAGAGTTAATTACAATTAGAAAATAATAATTAGGGGCAACTTGAGATATGGCAAAAAAAAGTTAGGAAAATAAGCAAAATAGCAACAAGATTTGGATTTTTCAAATATAGCATTTTTTTGGCAAAAAAACAGAGGCCCACATTCTAAATTACAAATATACCCTGCAGGCCCGAACCAACAATAAATTACTTCTGATTGAGTTCTGATATACTAATGATTGACAGATATACTCATGATATGTATGTGATATATGTTTGATATACATATGGTATGAAATTGATTTACTTCTGATATAACTATGATATCTACTACTATAGGTGACATAGAATTGATTGACTTCTGATATACTATTGATTTACTTATGATATAACTATGATTGATAGATATACTCCTGATATAACTATGATATAACTATGATTGACAGATATACTCCTAATATATGTGTGATATATGTTTTATATATATTTGATATGAAATTGATTTACTTCTGATATAACTATGATATATACTACTATAGGTGATATAGAACTGATTGACTTTTGATATACTGTTGATTTACTTATGATATAACTATGATTGATAGATATACTCCTCATATATATGTGATATATGTTTGATATACATATGATATGAAATTGATTTACTTCTGATATAACTATGATATCTACTACTATAGGTAATATAAAACTGATTGACTTCTTATATACTATTGATTTACTTCTTATATAACTATGATATCTACCAATTATTTCGAACATACTACCTCTAATATATGTTTTATGACATGCTACTAATATATGAAATAATTTTTTTTYWSAKAWAA